CTACTGGTATTATGAGATACTACTCACTTGTGAGTAGTAGGTGACAAAGTTGGTGATTTCTTTCAGTGATAAAAAATATAACAAGACCACCGACGACCAAGTGGTATATCTGAAAGAATAACTACCAACTGCCCTATGTACTACCCGGTATGCTGCCAGGAACGGCGGTGGTATCTTCTTGATGAGATGTTTTATGTATGGCAAATTGGTGATATCCCATCTGAAATCCTCAACAAACGACTATCCTCGACCAGCACCGTCTTCTGGAATTATAACACTGGTATGTCAACCCGCTCATCTTTGTGTGTGAACCTCAGGTTGTCTGTGGGAGGGTTAGGCCGTAGGCTGCTAGATGATTTTGTTTGCGTTTGCTTCCCACTGTCCAACGTTTTTATTACACACGGGGCGAACCCCATAGTCACGAGGACCTGCTATTCAGTGGTGGAAACCGGTTACGTAACTCCCGGGACTTGGCAAGGCGAACCACATAAGGCCCCACTAGGTTAGGTGTGGTATTGAACCGAACGAGAAACAATTCAATTGTGTAAATATCCCATGGGGACAAGAGAGGTATGAGCTTGTAAGTAATTCCCATAATAAAATTTTGACTAAACCACTGTGCTAACACCACCCATTGGCCGGCTGACCTTGACCCCACCCTGAAATCATGCAGTTCAATTCCCGCATATCGAACAAAGAAATGCTACTCACGGCATATCATAAAACTCCTGGATTTAACTAAACAAACGGGTTTTGTTCACTAAATCTCAACAACTCAGCCTTAGAACGTGTTTGAAATTTTCTTGCATCATCTAACCTAGTAGATGATTAGTAAAATTAAGGCGAATGGAACTCGATTTGAAATGAGCTCAGTTTATTCTCGGTGTCTCTGTGAGATTTCACAACCGTTGTTTCTTCTTTTTTGCATTGAACAGAGCATTGGTCCTTTAGTAAACATTTTTCGGTTAACCCCAAAATATATTCAACTAGAAACGCTGCGTAGAATTTTTCAGTTCTCAGTCCTTCACGAGGATCAAACGGGTGTGATATAATCAATGAGAACTCCAAAGAGTTATTTTAAACAGAACGACAAACATTTAAAAAAGCTGTTTCGTTTTAATATTGACACACATCCGGATTCAGTTCGTCAAGAATAACTTTTATTGATTCATTGTGAAACGTATATAAAAATAAGCTTGGCTTTTGAAACTTTAAGGGACTCATTCATTTCTCCTTATAGGTTTTACAAAAAACTTGGAATGAAGTTCAGTTCTACACAAAACCAACCCCGCAACTAACCCGGTTGAAGCAGATTCTAACAGAAAATGAACGTTCGCAAGAGCATTTGTCAGACTTTTATAAGAACAAAAAAGTAAGTATGCGTGCGCCTGTATGAAATATCTGTTTCTTTTTCAATTCACTGGACAGTTTGCTGCTTTGAGTGATCATTAGTATTAGTAATATTTACTGGGATCGTACTAAGGTCAACACTAAGTGATGACTCCGGAAAGTAATAATTCAAAATGAGTAAGCCTAAAACAAGAAAATCATTTCCATCATAGACGTGAAGAAGCAGATCTCGGGTCGAACATGTTTACCTCAGGGACTCAAGGAATATCAGGAAATAACGTTCTTCTCTTTTTTATTTTCAATGAAAGAATCGATCACTTCTACCTGGGATAAATTTCGTCGCGTACGGAGAACAAATTGAATGTGAACTGAAAACCTAGGAATCTGTGTTCAGTTTTCCCGATCCGGTTGTGTTCCATTTGCCGTGCGATTCCGTCGACCCGACTGAAGATAGAGCCTGGTAGCTCTCAGTTTGATCGGCTCCACGGTTGGTATGGTGACACAGCGAACCAGACCGATAATACTGAAGAAAATTCGCACATCTATCTGAGAGTTCTGAACCCGTGCAAAAGCCAATGGAAAATGACTAAGTGCTTTCATATCCTAGGACAAAACAGCTCCCGCTGAGATAGCATTACCTAAACCAGTGAAAGTGAAAGCGAATAATCATATCACTGACATACAACGACAAAACATCAAAGTGCCCACTCAACTAGTATTCAGATATTTAGATGCAAGTAGCTGAGCTTTGCTAACGGCGAGAAATAAAACCATCAACATCAAAGTATAATCTATGTATGCTTTGTTGACAAATCTTATGTGAAGTAAACAATGATAAATACATGATTCCAGTCCGTTATATACCCAGTATCGAGTGTGATCGTGCAAACATTGCCTTGTTCTCTCATGTCTTACATTTATTTTGATTATTCACTGAAAAATATCCCATTGAAATCTGCTCATTCTTTTGTTTATTGTTTTGCTGTTTTAGCGTGTATTAGAACTTCGCCAGGCCATTGAACAATTCAAAGGATGCACGCGTTTACGATCGGATAGTATTGTTTCCAAACTAACAACCTGCTCGCAGTGGTTGAAAACAACGGCTAAATCAGTTCGCATGGTGCACGCTGAGGTAGTACATAACTTATTTTGCCAAAGTAACCCAGTTTAGTCTAAATGTCGAATACTTAATGTTTATTTTTGTGAATAGAAGGAAGTGAGAACAGATAACTTTCACAAAATAATCTACCCTCTCTCTTTTGTTCGTTCTCCACTGTCAGGTGTATATGCTTGTCCGGGAAGATATCGAAAACTACATAGAATTTTTAGTGCAATATCACAATCAACTCTTCGATGCAATGGACGAATTCATGCGGACTCTGGATGAACCGGAAATATCTGTAAAGGTTATTCGGGAATCGGAGACTGAAAGTTCAACAATTGTAAGTTCGACACTGCATAATTCAGTTTTTTAATCTGATATCACCTGATTTATTCAAAGCAAAATAGTCCTGCTTTTATACGTGAAACAACGATCAAAAAATCATATCATCTTTCTTATTTGGCACCCTTGATCGAGAATATTTGGGGATATGTTTTAGCAAAAAATCTGTTTCTTCCAGGGAATTTCCTTATGACCCATTGAGGAAAAGTAATAAGCTGAATGCGGTTCTAGAAACCGTTTGATTGAATAGGTTTGCAGCACAACCAGCTTGATTTCATTTCACGTGAACAAAACTATTCTAATCCATAAAATTCGGGCCATTGCACCTCGAAAAAGTGCCTATGCGACTATCAAAGGGCGAAATTGATGAAGAAATCTCAGTTGCCATCAATTAGAACTCGTTTCGCGTGGCTCTCACAACTTGAATGTGTCCCTGAACGGATGAGTTAACGTTTGATCCATTGATCTGTTCACTTTTGAGTCACTGTCTGTCTGTCTGTGATACAAAAGTGTATCCTGCATTAGTCCGGCTGAGACTAATATGATGCATTTGCGCGACTTTGAGGTGAAGACTTGCGGTATTCCACAACCACTGTCTACGTTACGTTGCACGAGTTAGGTGGGGCGATCGGAAAGTTAATGACCAAGTTAAGTATATAGCTTAAGGTAACCGCGGTCACGCACTGACGCAAGTGTTCGTGGATGGTAAGTAAATTTGGCTCAATACATGCGCAGGCGGGATGCTTTAGAATGATACCAATACACACAAGTTTACATGTACCGATTAGTTGACCGGTGACATAATAACTACCACACCCGTTTAGCCTGTGGTGTCCTGCTGCAGGGCGCGTATTAAGGGCGGAGGATTCCACCCGGTTGTGGCAAGCATCAATGTCACAGCAAATCTGGCAGTGGAACTGGGAAAAATTCGAGCAGGATCTGATCACACTTCACAAGATCGCCAACACTGTGTCACCAACAGCAGGGATATCAGTAATTGTTGCATGATGCACGATCACGTCTCTCTCCGATCGAGTTTATTTTTCTGCCTGGTCATCAAATGGTTGGCTTTAGATGTAATTAGAATTACAGAAAAAGATATGGACTAGGCTGTGTCTCTTTACTTGTTACATCACTTCCGGTCAATGCATATTGCCAAGAACTCAACCGGCTAAAACTGCGCTCACTGGTCCTTCACGTGTCTCATCATTTGTGTGAGACTTCAGTCCATAGAAGGCTATGGCAATACAAAACTGTGCACAAGTATGAAATGCAGCAGCCACCAGGGCTTTTGGAGGTATGAGCAGAACTATCTTTGCTTCATATGTAATGATGGAAATTATCTCATCCGGTAAATAAATATGCTGTAAAGTTTACTTTATAACCATTGCAAGTATCAATTTTCTCAATTATATGTACTCACAATCAATTCATCGTTTCGTAATGACATTGTAGAACAGCGGAAATACGAAAGGTGAAGAGGGCTTCAAGCTTCCCCGCTTCAGACTGCTAGAAAGGACTACCTGTCTGATTGTGAGTATTCCTTCTACTGCTCCATACTTGTCCCCATTGCCTGTTCCGCAAATTAAAATCGCGAAAAAAATTAAATTAACATTTCAACAGAATGTTTATTTTTTTAATTTTAAATACCTTGACTAGAATAGAATATAAGCGTGATTACGTTCGGAATAGTCCTCAAATTCAAGGTATGAACATGACGGAAAACCATAACAACCCAACTGTATTCCCATTCTACAGAATAGAAAAGTATCCAGTTGATTGTATTATTGAGTTGAGTTGGTCGCTCAGTATTTTCTTTTAGTTCGCATATTCTAAATGAATAAACGAAGTTTTGAACGAGTTGCGAGCGGACGAAAAACTTTGGTGCCGAATATTTGTTTTAATTCAAATTATTGTGGACTATAGAATTTGTACACAATCGCATTTTGAGGAGAAAATGCGTTTTACTATTTGGTCAAAGCAAATCACCTCCCATCTTACGTAGTCCTCAAGATTCACTGTCGATTTCGACCAATCAAATTTATTTTCTGTTCCTGTTATTGAGATCACATGCGCCAACGAGGTGGACGCTTCCACATGTTTCGCATTGATGAATATATGTATTGCCGGCTTGTGAACGAGGATGGTGTCATCGCAACAACAGTAATAACAATAACAGGGGATGTATGAATTGAGATGCAGAACGGAGTGTAAATTAGGTGAAACAGTTACAATGGAAAACAGCAGATAAAAGGAATAACAATATTTCGAGTTCCACCGTACACTTTTTGATATTTTTTAAGTGTTACTTCGTGGTTGATAAATGCATGCATTCAATTGATCTGGATTTATGAACCAGCCCAAGTCCATCCCTAGGGGCACACTAGGTACAACTAATGCGAGGTTGATGAATTGATATTATTCAAGAGTAAATAACTGTCCAACCATCAGTTTCAATAAAAACTTGTAGCCAAATTTACATCTCAGTGCATGCATTCGACGGTGTTGTGCTCGCCAAAACATGTGGCGAAATCAGTAGGCCAGGATATTGACATATCTCTTGATAGTATCCCCGAGAATGCCTTTATCTATTAATAAATTTGATCAGTCTTTTCTTAGACGTATACACCCCGTGTTTCGTAAAGCACATTCGGAATTGATTTTTGGCCTCCTTCTTGGTGAGAAACGATACGAACAAAGTCAATCAGTTAGAAGCACCAGTGCGCAGCTTCTAATACAAGCTAACAGCTAGCCTAACCTTGTCATAACCCTCCAGTTGGGTGGAATACAAACTAACCATCGCAGGTTGGAAGAAATCCAGGAAGTTACACTGGTAAAAGTTCGTCGATCGCAAAGACTCAGAGCCGCATTAGTAAGTTAAGGTAGTAGTCTTCGCGCGTGCGCACATGCAAGAGACAAAAATGTGTGTATNTGAAGCCAAACAAATCACGGTGCAATAATCTGTACAGAAAGAAAAACGTTCCACGATTTGTCTGTGGGCCGAATAATGCCAGATTGCCCAGGTCAAGACAGGTGAATTTTCTTGGGGAGTTCACAGCCGGAGCCTTTGGTTAGTCAAAGCCTGAGCCACAAGGCGAAGGGGCGATGTGTGAAAACCGCAATCCATGAGGAGCCGGTGTCCACTCCAGCAGATCATACGCCCTTTGGACGGGGTCAAACGTCCAAGCTGCCCAATATACCTCCTTGCCCAATTGAGCCCGTGTCAACTACCATAACCAGGAACGTAAGTNNTTTTGTACGCCTCCTCTTGGTTGATTTGGAATCAGGATTTTTATCCAACTAACCTTGATGCACCGACCCGGTTATAGCCCCGGATGTTGGCCTTTCTTTCCTTCACTTTAATGGGAAAACAGCACCACAAGAAGGCAGTGAGTAGGGCTGTCTCAACAGAGGTTATTTGAGACGCTCAGTTTTATAGGAGCTTCCGCGAGGTGCAGGGAAAGGGTCACCGACCACAACCAAAGACACCCTCTGCCGACCATACTGAGGCTTTCTGAATGAAACACATCAATGACTAGGGTCTCGAGCGTACGAGTTAAATGCGTATGTTGTCCAATAATCATCGGAATCCACAAGTTGAAAGGACCTCGAGGACAAAGAGCTTTACTTGGTGGAAGAGAATGCGGTGAGACTTGGATGTCAGTCGAAATAGGACGCGGGACAGCAGGGTTAGGATTTCTGCCTGAAGTTACCAATGGAAGTGCACATGTGAGCAAGAGTCGGGTGAAACGGCGAGGTTCATGTATGCAGGAAGGTGTCCGCTATCAAACAGCGAAGCTTAGTAATCGATGCAAGGAAGTTCATAGTTGCATAAATTATGGGCTGCTACACCAGTCGGTCACCCTGTTAAAGGATGCAGTTTAAAGTTCGCAAAACAAAGCGCAAGCAGCTAGGCAGCAGCGATGCCCTAGATGAACCGGTAGCCAGTTGTATAGTTCATCGACCGCTTCCAGGGAACCCTGTCGGGTAAATGTAATACGTTGCGGGCAACGACTGTTTTCATTAACGGGACACATTCACCACGTCAGAGTACTGTCAAACAGATGTGATGCGTTGTGAGGAGAATGCTGGTCACCGCATCCCCGAGTACCATGGCCAATCTTCTGCAACCACTTAATCAGTGAGTCTAGGCGTACTTAATTCGTGGCAAGTCGCG